GTCAGCAGCACTGTCCTGCTTTTTATTGGATTTGGCAAAGCTTACACTCCAGCAAACTCAACCTCAGCCAATATTACATTACCTACACATCAGTTAGTCCTCATCTGAAAAACCATTTTCACTTGTAATAAAGTGAAGCAATGCACCCCAACAGGATTGTATGAACAGAAATTATAAGTGCCGCCATGAATTATAAGAGAAATGCTGTTTCTTTATTTATTTTCCCTCTGCATGGATCATCATCTGGTCAGGATGTTGACATGCAGCTTTAACCTTTGTACGTAGACATCCGGTACATAGTTAAAACTCCTTTTTACAGATTATTGTTTTAAAACATTGAATCAACACTTTGAACCTACTCACAGAGCCAACGCTGACGTGGTAAATCTGCCACTGTGTGAAGTTCACAGACGCGGTGTGGTAAGGGAGGCGGGGCCTGGTGAACGGACAGTTCCAGGAAACAACTCATACATAAGGATTTTTTTTTTTTTTTTTTTTTTTTGGTAAATGAGGATTTACAGTAAATCTGATGAGCAAAAGTTCTTTATATTCAAGAAAAACTGGCATAACAAAGTGTTGTAACTGGTTTGACCACAAGAGAAGGTAAATGAGGGAATCCAGGCATCACTAGTTTGGACCATTTATCTCCTGTTGTCTACTGCTGGCTCAAAAAATAGCTGACCTTGTGGTATGGCTGGTTATAAAAGTTTTCCCAGGGCAGCTTCTAGCGATCACATGTGACCTTAAACAAACTTTTCCACTCTGGTTTGTATCAAAGAGGGTTTTTTTTTTTTGTTTTTTGTTATACAAGTCGTTATTGATTCTGACTGGGTTAGTCAGACAGTCGATAGCTCTTATTTTTATTGATATTTTGTAGGACACATCGGGGTGACTGAGGGCACACAACGGGACTGAGGATGTTCCGAGGACAAATCCAGCTCTATTCAGAGCTCTGTGCGGTCAAGCCAGCTTTTCCTGTGTATGAAAGACACACACATTTCTCTGCAGACGCTCAAAACCAGCTGGAAAAAAAAAAAAACTGGTAACACCCACCCTCAAGCAGAGGAAGCAGAAAAGTTCTGTTGATTAAAATTTGTCTCATCTTCCTGTGGAGGGTTTATAAGAGAGGTGAGAAGTCAAGTGTTGCTCACATTTCACGCAGGGTGAAATGCCACAGCTGATTAAAATCTTCAGTACACTTAGGTGTCAGCTGCTAGTTGGCGGTTAGCAGTGGTTTCTTATCCATACAGGATGAAATTAGGTCACCTCCCTTCACTCACCATCTGATTGGTGCTGGCAGTCATAACTTTTAATCTGTTCTTACAGAAGTAAAATTATAATTGAAAAATACACTATCACCAGTGTTGAAGGTTTAGTGCGTTGTACTTCTTGTCCTTGAAAACCCAACAACTGGAAACCTGGAAACAAGACCAACCAGTGAGCTCATGTTTATTCACTCTGGAATTGGTCTGGAGACGCCAGGCTAAACAACTGGAGCTAATGTCTCCGTACAGCCAAGGCCTTCTTCATGTTGCAAGTGGTTAAGTAAAACTAGTAATGCCACAGTGTTGCATACACTGCATATTGCGCAGTTGTGGCTGTGTATCAATGTGAACAGGAAGTTTGATAAGATCTGATTTTTTTTTTATAATGAAGACATAAGTGACTTTCTAAGTACACAGAGTTCAACTTTGAGATAAGATAAGCTAATCTTAAGGGTAGCCTTCATTTCAAATCCACACAGAGACATAGTCTGCGGCAGAGTGCGAATTATACAATGATAATCATGGGGGGGTCAACTTTTTTTCCAGTACAGCGCAGGCGTGTGCTTCAGTGAATTGAAGTCTTACAATTCTTACAGTACCGTACTTGTTTAACTTAATGAATCAAATCCATAACACCAGCTCATGAAGCATGTACCACACAACAACTTTTGTAGTCAGGGCTCACCAACAAAGTATTCAAGAGTAAAACTGCCAGAACATCAGACCCACACACGCAAACATCAACAGCAGACCATCATTTCCACTCAAATACAGACCCACACGATGCTGTAGCAGAACCAGAAACACCATCAACCTAACAAAGAGGTCTACTGGCTCAAAAGCCTAAGATGGAGTGAATCCTATCTTTCCATTAATTCAGAAGTGAGAAACATATGAATTCTATGAAAAAGGTCCTGTAGAGTATGAATTCATTTTTTTCAAGGAAAAAAAAAACAGTTGACAAAGTTAAATTTTTGTGTGGTCTATGTCTTTAAGGAGTAGCTAGGTTAATGTTTCAGTCCTTAAAGTAGCATAATGCAAATTCTATCAAATCAGCCTTACCTTAAAAAACTGACCACAGAGAGGGAGTGGAGCCTGTTGCTAGATTTTCTGTCCATGTCATTAACTGCTGAAAATTCCCTCTCACAAACACGGTCACCAGATAAATCTGCGGGGATGATGAGGGGTCATGACTTTTGGTGAGATATTTGATCATTTCAACATTTATAGAAATTAAACCATGTGAAAAGTTTAGAGGGAAAAAAAATCACTAGTTGGTAACTGTTGACAACTCAGACATCTGAAATTTTAGAGATTAAACACTGCTTTTTGTAAGATGTAAGATGCAAAAAAAGTGGAAATGTACTCAATTACTTTCCACCCCTGATAATACAATTACTGAACCTTCATCACACATATATGTTAATATTGTTCAATTACCAAACCAGATAAAATTCGTGAATTCCTGAGTGAACCTAATACCAAAAAGGTAAAATATTAACTAAGCCACCACAGCCACACAAAAGACTATTAATATAAATGATAAACTCTATATTGATATGAAAACTTATCTCTACAACAACTAATTCCCACTGTCTCACTGTTAGTGACTGAGCACCAGTGTTTGCTAACATTAGATATAGGTAATGAAATGACAAGCTAACATTGGAAATGAATGGGCGCTATCAGCTAGCTAACATTAGTTAGCTAAACTGTAACTTCCGGCAAAAGTTAGAAACAAGATAACGTGAGCGTTCATCTGTAGATACTTCACACAGTCTCATTCAGAAACTGTGTGGGTAAGACAGTAAAGTGTATTAAACCAACTGGATAGTTACTGAAACTTACATTTACCATCGCTGTCGCACGGGGGCAGAGACGCAGCGCGAGCCACTGACGCAAGTAAGGAAAGTTAGGAAATGGTACGGCCCACTTTAGGGGTGTTTGAAATCGTATCACAGGATTCTTCCAAGTATAAATATGGGAATATATATTGTAATAGTTATAATTACAGGTAAGAAAAATATATGGATGTTGCAAGTCCCGCCTTTTGGGGCGGTAAAAACAACAGTAACCGTAATTGTATATACTGTATAGTATTCAGATATAGGATACATATATAAAGCAATTATATTGCAGTATAGTATTTGTTGATCCTAGTTGGGTAGGTGATGACAGGTGAAAATGGAGTCACTAAAGGGGGAATTAGCTGAATGGCAGAAGACTTTAAAATCTGATGGCCTTGAATGGTAATGACACAAAAAAGTATTTATGTTTGTGTAAGACAAAGCAAAACAAGAGTAAACAGAGAAAACAAAAGACATGTTTTAGTCATAAAATATATTTATTTAACTAGTAAAACGTCTACTTCCAAAATAGAATGACAACACATACTCCAGGGATGGTGCTAACAGTGATTGGCATAAGGCTTTTTTTTCTTTTTTAATGCTAATTACGATCTTTCTGGAAAAAAAACACATCATTTTTTATCTTTAATGTTTCAGAAATGCATACAGGGCTAAACCCTGAGGTCCCAAAGCTGAAGGGGAGCTCACATGGTCTTTCATTAATTATTCTCCTATACAGGGCCTGACACCAGGCTGACACTATAATCTTATCTGTTGGCAGCTTCTCTTCTTCCTCAGCTGCCTTGGCAAGGTAATTTCTTCTTCCTTGGCTTTGTGCATTAGCCACTATGGCATTGCCCAGAAGGCGACTGTGCGTTTTAAGCATTAGCACTTGACACACTGAGGTTTCAAAACAAGACATGAAGGGATTTTCATTTCATCTATTGCTATATCATCAGGGCATGAGAAAATGCAAAGAACTTTGGGTAAGGAAACATAATTTAGGAATCACTTAAGACTTATTTTGCATAAGCTGTCAGACAAAAAAAAAAAAGACATAATCTATAATAATAATAATAAAAACACAACATGGGATGATTTGAAGATTAGACTGTAAAACCAGAGAAATAAGCCGTTGTCTTGATGTTCAGTAGCTTGCACTAACAGCAGTCTTTCCTCATGTCCTTTGTTGCTGTATGTTGAATTCAAATCAATAAGCAGGTCAGTGCCTATAGGCATCATGTCTGCGTGAGACTGCGTGTGCAATGTTGTGTGTGCCAGAGGGGGATTTTCTGAGTCAATCGGTTGTGATGGAGGCGGCTGCAGCGTTTCATTAAGCTGTTGTGATGCAGAGGCTGGCAGTCATTCAGAGATTACAGACAGACTGGCAGCAGGACTGTATGTGTCTTGTGTGTCTGTGTGTATGTGTGTGTCTTTTTATCTGCACCTTACCATCCTCCTCACAGATGGTGGTATAGTTTCATCCTCCCCCTGGCTACTGCAATGAGCTTGTGCTTCCTGTGACTTGCTGGCTCCAGAGCACCATTTTGACTATAATTTGTCTTTTATTTTTCATCTCTGTGGCGTTTGTTGGATCTACACACACACACACACACGCTGGTGTAATGTCTGTATAAAAAACATTGGCACCAGATGCAAAATCCTGGTAAACGTGTCGCCTCCACTGTGAAGTGTTTGCCTTATAAAATAAATTATGACAGGGTATTTTCACTGCTTCATCTCACTGTTAGACTGAGAGCAACAGGGCCACAGGAATTTCATTTCGTTTAAAATTGGACGGAGAGAGATATGTGTGCTTTTGTGGCTCACTGCAAGAGAGGTAACTCTGGGTGTCTGACTAAAGGGGGGGGGGGGTGGGGGGGGGGGGGGGTGGGGAGGGAGGGAGAGGGCAACAGGGCATAAAGGGCGACTGAGGGGGAGGGGGCATTACTGGAAGGAAGCACGGACAGCGCGACCCTTGAGCGGCTGGGGAGGGCGGTAGTTGTCCACCATGCAGCACTCGGCCTCCCCCTCAGCAGAGAAGAGCAGGCTGCGGAATTTGGCCATCTGTGACAAGGGAGGAGACATCCATGGGGTTAGTCATTCCTGCTGACCTCCTGTGACTGTCACTCACGCAACACATCACTCATCCCACCGAGTCACTGAAGTGAATTAAGAACCATCGCTCGGCAGTTGTCTTATTCATGCTTCAAAGTAGCTGGACATCCTGAGAAATAAACTCATTCACTTTCTTACCAAAAGTCGCTGAAGCTTCAGTCAGTATCTGGTTAGCCTAGCTTAGCATAAAGAGTAGAAACAAGAGGAAACAGCTAGCCCTGTTCTGTCTCAACATACCTCTAAAGCTGACTAAAAAACACATTGCATTGTTTTGTTTCATTTCTAATTTCTCTCTTTCGTGTTTCGTACAAAAAATATGTAGTGAAGTCAAAGTATAAAGAATATTTAGAAACAAAAATTCGTGGTTTTACAAGCCGTTATGTGAGGAAAAAAACTACTTGTAGTTTTTACACTTTGGTTTTCGTATAGATTACTGAGCTTTAAAGGTACTGGTAGGCGAATTTATGTAACCTTCAGACAGAATCAGGCTAGCTGTTTCCCCCTACTTCTAGTCTTTATTTTAATTTAAGATAACCAGACTAACCAGCTGTAGCTTCATATTTACTGTACCTGATAAGAAATTAAATAAGAGCATTTCTCAACCTATTTGAGATTTGTCATTAACTCTGGCTAATGAATTAGCCCGTGGTAATTAAACTGCTGCAGCCACTTGAATATAATGTACACAGTGAGAACCTAGACACCAATGGGACAAATTAATTCAGCTGGCGGGTGTTAGCTCTCACCCATTAGCTAATAACAAATCATTAACTAATGACATGTATTACTGAACATGAATGACTTCTTTATCTGCTTGGCACCAAGTCTAAAGGTTATATCCACATGTCCCTCATGTTTACCCTTGAGACACCTACTCGCTGCCATGAAATAAACATCTGACTGGGCAGTGCCATTTCTCACACGGCCTAAAGACTGCAACCACAGGGACAAACCTGACTAGAGAGGCTGTTAGTTTAGATTAATGGGTGGTTACGAGTCAAATATCCATTTCACTGGTGTAATTTTAGAAGGAAATACTTTGCAAATACAGGTATTATGTACCAGTATACTGTGTGCCCTCAGTTATGGTTGAATTCACACGCTGTCTCTTAACCTAGAAAATGTGATACATGTGTGATGAACACTTCCTGTTCAGTACCCACATAATGACTCAGAAATACACTGCTAAAGCAGCATTTCCTACATCTGTGTCATCTGGTAGTTGTGCTTGTTTTCTTGGTTGCACCATTAATGCATCCTGAGAGTGAATGAAGCTGCTGTATTGCCTTTCCTCCCATTGCAGAGCTAGTTTCAGCCGTGCAGCTAATCTGAACAATTAAGCCCTTGATTTAGATCGCAGTAAAAGAGAGGATTTGCAGACGGGGCTATTCTAGACCGTGGGCACACAGCCAATCCCTGTTCTGCTAAATGGGACTCTCCGAGAAGACATACCTGCTCAGAGCTGACGCTGACTGGCTCTTTGCAGACAATCCAGGTAACGCTTTCCAGCAGAGGGGGTGTGGTCAGGGAGCCGTCGTACGTCCAGTAGTCTAGGCAACCAGGGAGCAGAGTGGCGGGGTCGAAGTCAGCGAAAGAGGTCTGCTTGCCCTGAGGATAAAAGAGAAAGTGAGGAACAGATCAGTCACATGTCTTATCATAAATCAAATGCATGAAAATGTGTGTTTTTTTATTTCTTTATTTTATAGAAACATACTTTGGCCTTGATGACATCAAAAGCATCAAGAACCTTCTGGAGATTTGCATTTTCAGCACCAATCTGAAAAACAGTTAAATAGAATCATCATCAGCAAACGGTGGTAATTAAACTATATACATTGTGATAAATGACAGCTACGCAGAGTATGCAAATGAGTTATGCTAATTGCTGTAATACTGAAGAACGTGCTTGAATCGCTCCAACAGACCTGCAGGAAAACTCCAACAACGGCGAGTCCGTCGGGCTGGCTCGCGGCTTCTCCGAAGCTTGCATATTTGGTGTTCCAGTGCACCAGGTGGAGCTGGGGATAAATGACATGGATGAATAAAAAAATTCCTATGGCGATGTTCTATTTACAAGTAGATACTGAACTGAAAGACTGATGAGATTTGCTGAGCTGAACTGAGAAGTACAATATTTAGCTTAAAGGCTATTTTGTTTTCTCTGCCACCGAACGTGGAGCAGGTGGTGGTAACTGTCACTTGACAAGAGCTTCGGCCAGTGTTGCGTTCAGAGTTCTGAGCAGCTCTACGTCTTCAGTGACTCGCTATCGGAAAGTGACGGGATGGGCCGAGGCTAGCTGGTTAGCGTGCTAACTTCAGTAGAAGAAAAGACGACTTCAGTAAAGGAATGAAGTTTGATGCTGAGCTCACAACATTTCTTCTCGACTGGTAGGTAAACAGCTGTCAATGCTAACGCTAGCTACGTAGCAATAGTAATACTTACTTTCATTAAAATGTGTCCCAACTAATGAGTTTCCTTCTTTATTAGAACAGCTTTGCTCTTAACAAACATTAACGACCTCCAATACACACAAAACTTAACCTCCCCTCTTGTTACATCAACCTCAGTCTGTCACAGAGTAAAGCTTTGTCAGCGTTGCCATCGTCATCATTATGGCTCAGAGCATCTTTACCTCAGCAGGATACTTGGTCCCGGCCACAGTGTGCTCAGAGCCCTTGTCGTCAGAAGCCCCCCAGTGGAAATGAAACTGCTTGAGCCTGTAGATCCCTGAGATTGGTCCGTCTGTCAGAGCTGCAGAAAAAAAACACACACACACATACACGCTTTTCCCGTCAGTTCATCCCACACTGAACGTGGGTGCTGCCACATTGTTATGCATCTTACAGACTGTAAGATGGCTGTATATCTTCCTGAACAGAAAATATGAGAATGCAAGGAACAGGTTATTAAGATGAATAAGGTGCAAATGTACACACACACACACACACACACACACACTGTGTACACACGGTGTGTGTGTGTGTGTCATGATGGCAGACAGACTTCCTATTTCATGGAAGCAGACTCAGTTCCTGTTGTGTAAGACCTGGTCAGACTTAGGGCTACATGTCCAGGTATTGTTAACATCAAACCTCCTTCCAATGTTACACAATGTACCTATTTACAGTATACAACGCGGCTGAAACAGCAGCAGATAATCCTCTATATTGTTCTATTTCTGGAGCTGTGATACCAAATGCACAAACACACACACACACACACACAGACACACACTTCCCTCTCCAAACAGGATATTTGTTTCTCAGTAGCCGGGTTCAAATGATAAGAAGAAGGTGCAGATCTGATCCTGAAGCAAATGGATGAGGAAGGTATCGACATTAAATTACTGGTGCTGTGATATTCATCTTTTCCATGGTGCATGACACGACCTACCCTGACATGACGATGATGCAAACATAGCTCGTCCTTTTTTTAGAGGGGCATGGTGGAAAATAAGTGCAGTGAAATACCAAGGAAGACTTCAGAGGCCTCAACATATGCAGTTCAGATTCTAAATAAACCTGTTTTGTTTTTTTTTCATCTTGCTGTGTGTCCACTGGAAATAAAACCCATGTGATTCTGTTGATTATGTAACCATATTCTTCATTATCCCATATCAGATCCGCTTACAGGACGACCAATCCAAAATCCTAAACAAGAACAAAATAATCTCAAGCAATTGTTTCTTGTCTCTTTTTAAGATTAAAATCTGATCCAAATGAAAATCAATGAAACAAAACAGAGACAAAAAATCAACAAAGCAAAATGCATCTTATATCATGAAGGAGGGTAAAAAACAAAACAAAAAAAAAAAGATCAAGCGTCTTTTATCTGGTAACTAAACACATTCCCATGCACTTTGGCACACTAATAGTTAACCAACAGCGGCTTTATTTGCAGAGTAACCTTCGTTTTTTGCGCTTTTGACCTCACCAGCAGAGAAAAAAAGAACCGGCGTGGGAAAGGTTTACCAGGGGTTACATTACCAATTCAATTAGTATCTGCACGCTTTGTGTTTGGCTCTTGAATGGAACTCCTGCAGCCTATTCATTTCTTTTATAAAATAAAATAAAAATGTTTTAAAAAAACCCCCACACAAATTAAAAGCCCTCGAGGCGTCAATGAAACTGGGACGCATGACTCATGCATCCATATTAATATTAAAATAATATTAACATGCTTGAGTTCTATAGGCTTTATGCTGGAGGCTGTGAGAGCTGCACAGAAGCCATGTATTAAACCTGAATGCCGCATTGAGCGAATTGCTGCATCCTGACTGGAAATCATCAGAAAGAACCTGCTGCCTTTGTTTGCAAACCTGAGTCCAGCAATAGCTCCGCTGTTGTACCAACAGACATCACAACAACAATTGGAAATATATGAGAATCTTGTGTTTTCTCCAGGTTAAAGACGAAATATTAAAATGCCAATTTCTCAATCACAGACTGGAGAGGTGTGTATAGGCAGCACTGAGCGGCCGGATTCATACAATATTAATAGGCTATAACACTAACTTGAGCTGTCGTTGTCATCTACGAAGGTCACTTGGAAGGAATGTCCGTTGTTGAGGATATCAAGGCAGGTGGAGGGGTCGTACTTCAGGTTGAGCGCCTTCAGCCCCGCGTCGTATGATGCTTCACCAGGTACGATGTCAATGGGAGACTGGCGGGGTCCATTGGCAATAGGGAAGTTATCAGCCCATTTGTCGGGTCCTAAAATGATATCATGATAACACTGTGGTTATTAGTATGTTAGTCTTGAAACATGGGGGTTTATTCGTGAAATAATCTGCGCATCTGAGGGTGGTGATGTGCTTAAAACGCGCGTAAAAATCCCCCAAAATGTGCAGTTTAAAAATCTCTGCATGCACCGTCCTCCCATTCATTCACCCAGCACCCTGCCTGTTGGTATGACTGGTGGTAGCAGTCCTCTCAGCAATGTCACCCACTACATGATAGCGTGTACGCGTCGTGAGCGCCTCACCGTTGTTCGCTGCGTATCCCCAAGACATTGTTAAGAGTTTGAATGTGTGTGTATCTAGAGCTGTAATCCCCTAAAGCGAGTCGTCTCCCAGCGCAAAGCAGCCAGTGTCCTCCACCTGACAGCTGCACGACTTATATAGGGTCCCCTGTGTGCGGTGTGTCAGTCAGGCTGGTATTGGCCACATGATGTCCGCGCAATGACCGGGAGGAGTTTAGATGCGCAGCAAGGCTGCAACACTGTGGATCAATGAGTCTCTCTCTCTCACACACTCTCTCTCTCACACTCTCTCTCTCTTTCGCTCTCTCTCTCTCTGCAGCGGTAAAATCTTCATTGACAAGCTGACTGGCTGCGTATTCCTCGACCAACGTGCGCTCAGCTAACGGGTTTAACTTGCCTGTAAATGTCAGGAAATAACGGAATTACGCAACAGAATGCAGCGTAGTGTCATTTTGAGACTGCGATGTTGTTGAAAGGAATACACTGAAGTTACTGAACAACAGCACAGTGCAACAATAAACAGACATACAAAATATCATCAACATATTAAGTACTTGTTGAATCACAGAGAGGTGATCCAATGAGAATGGAAATATTTAATGTGCCAGCCCCTTATTATCCCCCTTAATAGCCGAAAATGAGACACACCTAATATGGACATATATGGACTGTGCATCTTACTCAGTGCAGGGTCCCACAAAACCACATAAAAAACCCCATCAAACCATCATCTGATGACGCCACTTCAGTGCTAATAAAGATGTCAGAAGTGAGTTTATGTGAAAATCTTTCAAAAATCTTTTGACTAACATATGACTTTTATTCATTTGCAAACATATTTTTTTCAAAAAAAAACATGAACACAAGACAGAAAGGTTATCTGGCTGGTTCTTGCAGAGTTCAGGAGGACAGATAACAGAGTGAAGGCCTACTTTGCGCAGGATTTGTCTATCAGTGTTATTGTAGGCCTCCTGCAGCAGGAAGACAATACAGTGCAAAGTATGGGCCAAGTTGATGACATTTATCCACATCCATACACATTAATTAAAAGTTTTGAAGGTACCAGAGTCATAGCAAACCAAATGTTAAATAGAATAAATCATTAAACAAAACTGACAGAAATCTAGACTATGTTTGATTTCTGTCAGTTTTGTTTTTAAATATTGTTGAAGCAGTTTGTAAATAGACAAAAAAAATGCATCTGTGTCTGTAAAATGTAAAAAGAAAGAAATACATTTCAGAGTCAGACAGAAATAACTGATTATGTTGTTGAGGGATTAGTCCATTCCTCTGTTGAACACTAGGCCTAAACCTCATATCGCTCCCTAAAATCTCCAAAACAGTTTGATTGCATCCTAGTGGCCAGTCCAGCCCAGAATACAATGGCATAATGCTCAGTTTTTCAGAAACAGGCTGCAGTGAACTCAGCTGTGGTGGTACTACGATGCCACCTGCTGTTGGTCGATGATACTACAAAGCTTGTAGTCAAAGACAGTCATAGATTAGAGCTTTGCAGAGATCAATCTTTTTGGTTTGTCTTCATGCAGGTTTAATGGGGAAACTAACACAATGAACTTTAACCCTTTTTTTTTTAGTCAAATAAAAAACAAAAATGCATGACGAATATTGTAGGTGTGTAAAATGTTATGTTGCTGTACCTACAATGAATCTCGATATTGGTTCCAATGGATAATTGGCAAAAAAATATGTTGCCAAACTGAACAGTCTTCGCCATTATGAGATCTGTTGAGAAAAAAAAGTAACATATGACAGGGATTTAAACTTTAAAGCATTTATTTTGAAGGTTGGACATACAAACCGGAAGTATTGTTTTCGCTTAGTTTTGTTTTTTTTCGTCAAAAATCTAAATAATCAAGTTATATTTTTGTTTTGCTGCGATAACTTAAACACAAAGAACTGCAAGATCATGAAGAAGAAGAAGAAGAAGAAGAAGAAGAAGAAGAAGAAGAAGAAGAAGAAGAAGAAGAAGAAATTTGACGTAACTTACGTCTACTGTCGCGCACAAGTGACGTAGCAGAGGGGTCACGTTTGTAGCACACGCGGATATCAACACCAACCAACCACTTCACATACGAGGTTTGTCTTTAAACGTATTTTACAGCCGACATGTTCAGTTTTATACACACAGAGTTTTATTCGTTTTGTTAAATCAACGTAACCGAGTGATTTTAGTCAAACTTCATGAGAAAATGAAGAAAATACAAACGAACACACGTAGCTTCACACACACACACACACACACACACACACACAGTTGTACAGTAAACAGACAGGCACACAGTCAGCTGTCAACAACATTTGGACGATGCGTGTTTTAGTGTTTTAGTTGTATTAATCTTTATCTATAGGTTTATCAGGACATCCATTCACGTGCCACTTATCTATTTTTTTTTATATCCCAGTCCTGGTATCTGTTTACATTTAGCCAATTTCCTGTTTAGGATATTTCACAGCCAATTTCACACCAAACAAACAAACCTAACCTCTTTAAATGTCATGTTTTGTCCGGCCAACAGCTCAAAACCCAAAGATATTCAATCTACTATTGTGTGGAAAAACAAAAACATCAAATCCTCAGGAACAGTAAATACGACAAGGTATTGAAATGATTATTGATTGATATTAATTGACTCATTGCCTAATTATTGCAGCTCTGATGACAACATGTGTTGATGTATTTTATTAAAATCCCTGCCATGTTTAGGTGCTGCCCTATTGACTAGTAATAGTATTGCTACTACTACTATTACTACACTGGTAAACAGGAACAGGAAGCCTGACACCAAGAAGTTGTGGATGTATGTTGTTTAATACCAGACTCTGCCATCAGCTCCTTAAAGCCTACAGCAGGATGTATTTGTCTAGACAGATGGAGTGTTTTTCCACTCCAGGTTTGGTTCTGACTCTCCCACTGCAGACTGACAGAAGCAGCATGGTCTGCTGCGAGCGGCAGCGTCAGGTTTATAGTGCTGTGCTTTTATTTTATTTTTTATACGTTGATACCCTTGAAGAACATCCTTGTTTTTCAGCCTCAAGGCCACATACTGAGAGGGTTTGTTTTTGTTTATGGTGTAACTGCTGGTTAAAATCTAGACAGCATGAAAATGCGAAGAGGTTGAGCTGAGGAATAAAATAAATAAATAAATAAATAAATAAATAAAAATGTCTGAACGAGTTTGTTTGGCCTCAATTTTGCTGCATTGAGAATCACTTTAGCTGCGCTTATTATAAATCATCTGAACCTCTTGAACCTGTTCAAGTGTTATGATTCACTGTTTGAAGGAGTGAGCTTCTGGCATAACAAGGTGTCACTAATCAGGAGTGTAGGAAGCATGTGGGGAACCTGGAATAATCTCAACATCTGTCTTGTTCAGAGGAGTCGTGAGGTCATGTGATCGATGTGGACGCCGCAACACTGGATAAAAAAACAGGACACACGGCACAAGAAAACTCTCCCATGAAAATAACTGTGCCGACTGGCGCTTTGTCTCTCCCCAGGTGACATGGCGAAGAATAAACAGAAGGGGAAGAAACAGAAGAACGTCTTTCAAGTGGCAAACAAGCACTTGAAGCACAAGAACAAAGCCAAACCTGTCACAACAACACTCAAACACGTAAGATCTCTCTCCTCTTCCTTTTTTTTTTTCCCTTCATATTTTCACACATATTTTCATTCTTTCTCGCCCTTGCATGAAGCGTTTGCTGTGCCCACTCTAGTAGCGTAATTTGTGGCTTCACAGATCAATGCGGTGAAAAATGAGAAGGTGGAGAACCTCAATCAAATCTTCACAGAGGTCCAGAGGGATTGTAAGAGCGTTTCAAAGTCTGTTGCTCCTGAGCCAAAGAAACAAACACAGGTAGAGGAGGAAGCTGTGGACATTTAAACTTCTTCTTCATCACCTAACATTTCAATTCTCCTGATATAATTAATAATAATCATTTTCTTTTTATTATCATATTAGGTTGCCAGGGTGCCACCAAAGGAATCTGTAAATGTTGACAGCGCTGCCCAACTCTTCTCTCAGCTATGACGGACCAGGAGAGAAGGACTTTGACTGAGGGATCTACTTCTCTGTGCTCATGTTCAGTTGTTGAAATAAAGTCTCAGAGCAGCTGCAGAAATACATCTCATGCCGAAACACAGACTGCAGAAGAGTGTAGAACGAGAAGAGGCTGCGGTCGTGGCATGATGGTAAAATGTTTGTGTGTAATTTAAGCACCCTGTATATTGTGTGCAGAGAAATGTTATCACTTTTGTCACAGTTGTGATGTTGTTTCAGGAAGATAGGATATTTCGTTTGTTCTTATCTTTAGTGTGGAACTAAACATTATTTTCATTATTAATTGATGTGCTTTTTATCTTCTTGATTAATTGGTTATTATTGTTATTTTCTTTATGAAATATCAGAAAATAGTAAAAAAAAAAATGCGAATGTTTTGCTTGAAATGTAGCAAAAAAAAAGATGAATAAATTAAGGAAATAGTTGCCAAGTATTATCTTCTTGAGTCTGTATGTAGTGAAAAGTAATTTATAAAGGTTATTTTAACCCTGGAGCATGTTTTTGAAAAGAATTATTCAACCATGTGGACTTTATTTTACTGTCTCTGTGAATGTGGTTTCAAGGTTTTCACACCCTTCTTCTTTTTTTTCTCCATGTCCCTGATTCAGTGTTAATGAAGCTGCTGCTTGTGATGATGAAGGTGTTTGCTTTCGAGAGTTTTGTTACGCACGGTTCTTATGGAAGTCGTTAAAAATTCATGCAGGAACTGTAACAGAATGTAAATGAGAACTCCACATACAGTACAGCAAGCGTCTCTCGTTAAATATCTCATTCTGCACAAATTATTGTACGTGACGTGTTTGGAAAAGGCACAAACACAAACGCTACACGTTGAGTTGAAAGTTAAATTTTCTTTTGTGGTTTAGAGGTTCAACTCATTTCTGAGTCCATACTTTGTGTTGCAGCCGCATTGCACCGCATCACATGCTCAGGTGTCTTCTGTATTTTGTTCACACCTGTATGTACAAGTTCTATTTCAGCACCTCACACCATCATTTCTATTAGGAGAGCAACCTGAAGATGAGGTATAGATTTTTCTTTTGGCACCACCAGTGAGCGGCGTGCAGTTATCAGTATGCTGCTGCCGCCGCCGCCGCCATAGCAGCTTGACATCGAAGGTCACGGGTTGCACCAGTGCCCGGCTAATTGCTTGTCTCCGTGGTGACCTCTGACTGAGTTAGTTGGTCAATAAATCTGGGGCACGAGCAGGAATGGTAAACAAACCGGTGCTCGAGCGTGTTGACATAAATAAGCAAATGACATTTCCAAGGTTGGAGATGACTGTCGTGACGGAGGCGTTTGCCTGAGTGATGGTGTTAATCCGCCTGCGAGAAGACGCCTCGTGTTCACGGAGGTCGTTAGAGAAGCTTAAACCTGCAGTAAATACACCGACACATTATCACTTTAAGACGAGCTTGGTGAGCAGTTCTAGTCACACACCCAGCAGAGGTAGACGCAACATTACACAGTAGCCCACAGGTGGACAAAAGTATGTGGACACGGGTGTATTATGTTATAGTTTTTCTAGAATAGTAGACACGGTTGATTCGGGGCGTTACCAGTAGAAACAGGTCTGTTTTTCAGGGCGTTCAGACTGATTTGATCAAGATGAGTCACAAACAGATTCCCAGATAAAACTGTGACTCCTTTTTTCTACAGCCAATGATGTTTTGACTCCTGAAGTCTAAAACCAGTGACGTCGTAACGTCCGTCACACTGTAGGACTTGATGAAGAGACATGAATCCTGTATCTATATTCACTATATCTACGTTCAATATTCTTGATCTATGTTCAGAAAGACAAACACGGGATGATGTAAATGACAGAGACGCAAATGTATTTACAATAAACAATAAATTCACAGGAAGTGATAGATGCAGAAAAGGGGAGGGGTGGGGTAGGGGGGAAGGGGGAGGGGGGGAAGGGGTTCAGGAAGAGGGATGTGCTGTAGCTAATACCTGTTCTTCTTCTTCCCCCTCTTATTCTTCTTTGGTTTGTTCTTTTTTTTCTCAGACGTTTGTTTATCGTCCGTCGTCTTTCCCTCCTCCTCCACCTTCTCTTCGTCTTTGTTCTTTTCCTCCTTCTGACTCTCGACTCCCTCCTGTTCATTCAGAGTCTCCTCCTCCTCCTCTTCCTCCTGACTCTCCTGCTGTTCCAGCTGCTGTACCTTCCTGCTCCAGTCTTCCTCTCTCTGAACCTGCAGTTTGGCCTCCAGTGCTCCACACTTTGCCCTCCACTCTTCCTCTTTGCTCTCCAGCTCGAGCTCTTTTAGAGCGAGCAGGGCCAGGACATCGACGTGGGCCCTGGTGCGAGCCTGCCTCTTCTTGATGCTCCTTTTCAGGAGCTCGTCTTTCTGACGCAGCTCCTCTTGAAGCTGGCTCTCCACCTGCTTCCATTCGTTCTGCTGCAGGTCAGTTTTCTCCTCCAGAGACTTCCTCTCCTCCTTCAGAGACTTGACCTCCTGGATGGCGGAGAACAGGGCGTCCCTGAGGCCCTGTTCATTGTGATGGAGCTGGTTGGTCTGCAGCTGCACTGCATCTGGCCTGTACTGTTGCGGGCCGTACAGGTCCGCACCAAAGGACTGAAACACGCAAACAAACATGAAGTTCATGTCTAAAACTCCAGTCCAACCTTAACACAACCTCAACTCTTATCCACACAGTTAACTTTGTTTTACTGTCGATTACTCTGGTGAAACTTAAAGTTAATGTTTAGGTCGAGGTTTTTAAATCAGGTCTCTGACGCCTGCTTGGTTAGTTATGTTACAATACAATTTTTTATCCATCGATTAGAGACACTGACAGCAGAGTAATCTGTTTTGAGAGAAACAACACGGCGCATTTCTGCCCAACAAACCTACTGCAATCATAAAATCCTCCAACACTGTTTAGAAGCTTCTGTATTTCTCAATGCGGCTCACTGGATATGAGGAAATTGTTAAAACTCAACAAACTCCAGGTCAAATGAGAAAATCTTACCTGGTTTCTTTGTCTGTTCATTCCAGCTCAGACTGAACGGGACAGACAACAGCTGTGAAACAGTTTTGTGTTCAAGTTAAAGTTAAAACTAATAGTTAGAGATATTTGTCGTTTGGTGAATGTGGACGGTGGGTTTGGCTCGATCACGGAGACACCGCTCAGCTCGGGTTTCTGGTTCTGAACGAAGAGGTTCTGCATCCTGATGTCAGAGTTCTACGGTCATGTTGTAACAACTGAACGTTCTGCTCAAGTGTTATAGATCATCAGGGTTCTAACAGAGTTCCTCCAGGGCATTTCACAGCTCCCGTCTGACTCATTTTGAATGTTCATGAAGAAATGATCAAAGCATTGTGGGAAAATATTGACATGATATTTTTTTTTGTTTAAATGTGTTCAAGCACAGAAAAGCATCAACATCTTTTCAGTGGTAGAAGAAGAAGTGAACAGATGTTTTTCTCTGTAAAACGTAAAGACGAATGACACAGTGTTTCCTGGTCTGACCTCCAGTCAGTATCTTGTGTTACTTACTTACTTATGTCGCGAAAACAGAATAATTATCTTTCGTTTTCTTGAGATAACGGGATAACAAAAATATTTGTGAGTCTGGCTGTCATTTTTCTTTTGCTATTTTTCTAGAAGGTACTTCACATTAAACTCGTGGCGCCGGCATCAATTTGAAGTCGTGTAAGTTCAACATTCACCATCTTTTTTAGCTTGTTTTTTGGTCTCTACTGAGTCCTGAGGGAAATTGTCTGGCTCTTTAGCCACTAAATGCTCCAGCACTATGTTCACCAGCTAGTTGCTAACTCAGTTTGTCTCCCATGTAATGATGGATGATGATGATGGGCTGGTAGTGAACCGTTACCAAAACATTAACATTGCGCCCAAAACAATGAGCTCAAAGTAGCTGGAATGCTACACAAAGCTGAGGGAACCTGCAAAGTCGGATGTCAGTTCTCTCTGGGTTCGTGACTATGAGCAGCCGCTTTCTCACATCAAGCACCTATTTGATCTTTGCTGCTGAAAACGAGTGACAAACCCATTTTAGCATCAACAAAAGTTCCAAAAATGACAGCAGAATCACAGGAAAATTCTCAGCTAATTTGACACATTTACTCTGAAATCCTTTCAGTTGATGCCTTTTGGGTGAAAACATTTATTTATAATACAGAGGGAAAAGGTATTTTGACTGAAACGATTGGTGAGGAGCGCGTAGCAGATGCAGTGTTAAGGTGTCAGCCTTGGAGCAGGTGCTCTCCGCTGTGATCCAGATGACAGCACCACAGCACAGGCAGTGGGGTTGCACCAAAACACACCCTGGGGAGATAGATATCATGCCAGCGCACACACACACACACACACACACACACACACACACACACACACACACACATGTTGAATTCTGAATGTGATCCACGTGAGCTGGTATGGGGGTAGTTGGATGCGTGGATGTGTGGTGGGTTGAGTGTGTGTTTGTGTGTTTGTCATGCCAGAGAGTGCTGTTAGTCATTTCTGTCGCTGCTAGTCATAAAAGTGTCCCGCTTTAAAACTTATTCCTCTGATCCAACTTCAAACTTAAAAAAAAAAACATCAATAATGTAAGAACTTGGCTCAGTGTGTCTCACTAAGCCAAATGGAAAGGAGCGCTAACGACAGACACAACTAATGATGCTGTATTTTATAATCAAAAGTAAGCAAGAGAATTGATTTTCATAAATTACATTCATTGTGTTGTTAAGAAAAGAAAAGGAAAAAAAAATAAATAAAAAATCTCCCACACACTTTTGACTGAAGCTGATTTGTCAGAAGCTTAATTGAATATAATCAAAAGTGACATTTGAGACAACCGCCAGAGCTGGAAACGTCCACAAGATGGTGCTCTGGACGGGCTTATCAATATGCATGGTGACAAGCGGGGAAGTGGATCTCACTCTGTGTGTGTGTGTGTGTGTGTGTGTGTGTGGGAGTTGAGGACACACAGAGAGAGAGAAAGAGAGGAGTGTTGGGCTCTCTGAATGCCAATAAGAAGCTGAAGGCCTATTTGCAGTATGTCATTCCTGCCGCACAGCTGGGTTTTTCACTCTGACAGGACTCGCAGCAAAAGGTTACAGCACCTGCACTTCTTCCTGCGACAGAAATAAGAATTCACTGTTTGTCTGTGCAAGAAGAGAGTCAGACGCAGCTAATGTGTGTGTATATATATATATATTGTGTATGTGTGTGTGTGTGTGTGTGTTGCCTTGCTTGTGTTTGCCTATGCAGATTTGCTTTTCACACTCATTTCAGGTTTCGCAGCAGTTGTCACAACCAAGACTTCGCTGTTTCAGAGCCCTGACGGTGAAATACTCAATATTTAACTCCTTCCTCTTCCTGTTCAGACTTTGACTTTGAATAAAGCCGTATGAATTTAAAATGGCTGCAATTATGGCTGCAATAAAATGCATTCAACTTGGATTATTAGTCGTGATTAAAAATGTAAAACGATAAAATAAAATAAATGATCTTGACG